ATAAGTCTTTCTACCAATATGACCATGTTGCGAAAACAAGGTCAAACAACCACTATACAACGAAAGGAGAATACGACCACACAAAAGATCACACCATCTCGGTCTTCATACCTTCGAATAAGTGTTGTAGTCTATTTTTATAGCAAATATAACTTTGCCCCATCGATAATCCCATCCAAAATGTGATATGGGAAAAGGCCTGCCCTTGCTTGAAATTCACATTTCATGAAACTAAGCAATGTTTTCAATTGCAGGCTTTGCTTTATCGATAATCCCACCACAGAAATATGATATCGAGGAGACCCTGATAGTCTTGAAATTCACATGTCATTTGGTCCAGAGGCTCCCGTGGTAATTTGGCCTTGTGGCAATATGCTGAAATCAAAGGCTGCACTTCCCCGGTTCGATTCCGGCCTGGGATGCTTATGAAACTTAGACGAGTTACAATTGTCAGTCCACCCTCGATGAGAATACCATTTTGCAGACAAGTCCAACGACCCTGTGAGACCTATTAATCATCATATGCAATCTGGGTTGATTGCGGTTAATATTTTTGCAACGAAGGAAAAATGTGGACCATTAAAGGGAAGGAGAGGGCACAAAAGACTAAGTGTGGTGGAGCAGACTGTATCATACTAGAAAAGATAGTATTAATGGTGCATGGGGCAAATTTGTGTATAGAAAGATTGAGTGTAAGAAAGTGAAATAGAATGGTACATTTACGATTGAAGTACGGCAATTTTGAAAGGGGTAAAATGAATTAGATAAATAAAGCAAAAGGAAAAGTTCTTGAATGTAACAGGCCAACGGTCCGATGCTGGAACTCATCATGTGTACTATGGCAGAGGACGCAGGACAAGGTGTGTTCATCAAGGTTTCCCTGTCGCTCTGACAAAATTGCAAAACTGAAGCCAAGCCAACACTACACAGCCGAAGGAGACTGCGAATAAACCGAAGACCACATCACCTGGATCTGCCCGTCAGACCAACAAGTGGAAAGAGAATAAATGAATTTCCACAATGAAGTAGGCTTTAAACGCCATTAAATTTATCTTGGTCTTGCCTCCCAAAAGGCTTTCCCATCCAACCTAGACAGAGCATTTACGGGATTCGGGCCATGGGCTTGCACGCCAAGTGGCTCCGCACCACAGTCAGAGTGACGGTGAGTCACAGAGTGTATGCGATTTTGGGAGAGCTTCAGACAATCAGACAAACATATGTCATTAGGATAAACCTCTATTTGCTATTACCATAGATACCGTAACTAAACGCCAGGGAGATTGTATTCAAAACTACCAAATCTGGAATATGAATATTATCAAGAAAATCAGACTATTGGAAAGTACTGCCTACAGTCCGTACTTCACTGGATGAATCGAGCTATGATTCAAGCTCCAAACCTTGTCTTTTTGTATACATGCGGTGAAATAATGTATCGCTTTCAGAAGACTTAGAAAGAGTTATCCTTTTGTTGTTTTTTGTTTGTCCAGCCTATGACTAATGACAGAGCATGCTACCAGACTTTTATAAGAAACATCGTATTCGGCGTTGCCAATATAAAGCGCCAGCCTTAGCACCGAGCTTCAACTAATCAAAGTGGCAAGAGAAATTAATCTTTTTTCCTATCTCTGGTACTATAGTATTTCTCTTACCATCACTCACTCCCACCAAAGTTGCCCAATTTTCCTATATACACTTTACCTTCTCTTTGAGATGGTTTTGAGAAGCGTAACCACTTTCATCATTGGCTTCTCGTCCCATTTGCAGAA